TACTATATGTTAACTAATTAAACAAAGAACATTACTATTTGGCACGTACTATATGTTAACTAATTAAGAAAAGAACATTTACTATATTTGGTTACAACAACTGGTGTCATATCCTTTCTAATGACTATTGGTAATTATTCGTAGCCATCTCTTCAAGTAATCTGTAGGCATCTTCAAGACTTTTTTCCCATTAAAGTTCCTCCTTTCGCAACTTCTATCATTGATCGAATTGTTGGTAGCAAACCGTTATGAAAAGTTTGCACCACAGGCCCAAGGGTATGCCATGATGAGGACACTTTCGTAATAAATCTTTGTACCTCTCCCAAGCTCCGTACAATGATTCTAGCTCCATTTGAATAAAAGTTGTGATGTCATTTTGCATCTTCGTTGTTTTTGCTAAAGGAAGGAACTTGGCCAAAGAAATTTTGGGCTAGATTCTCCCATGTGTTGATTGACCCTACTGCAAGCGAATTCAACCACCCTTTTGCCTTGTCCCTTAATGAAAATGGAATAATTGCAGTCTTATGACATCATCTGACATTCTATTTCTATTGTGCTTGAAAGTATCACAAATCTCAAGAAAATTTGCTATATGAGTGTTTGAATCATCGTTGAGCATTCCAACAAACTATCATCGATGTCTAAATCATTTGTATGATGACTGGCTTTATTTGAAGTTGTTTGCCTGAAAATTTGGCACCTTATCAGGGCCGGCTTAAGGGCTAGGCAGGTGAGGCACCTGCCTAGGGCCCCTAAAAAAAAAGGGGCCCCAAAAAAAAGGGGGTCCAAATTTTTTATAAATTTTTTTTTTGAATATTTTACAAAAATAAAAATGGTTTATAATTTCTTATCTAAGCCAAGGGGTCCCAAAAAAAAAAGCCAAAAAAACCTAAATTTATTATAAACGTTTTACATATATTCCCACCCAAAGTTTAACAAAATAGCAAGTTTGTACCTTTAGTTTTATATATTCTAGTTTATACCCCTAAATTAACACATTGAATCTCTTTTAACAATGGAAGACTAAAATAGTTATTTACTTATCTCAAATTACTCACCCCTAATTCAATCCCAAAATTTGACATTCACATAAATCATCTCCGATCCTCTTCTGCTGCCAATGGTTTGGAGTTGATTTCGGTCAATTTTGTTTCCGGTCGATTTTCTCACCAAAATCGACCGAAATCATCATTTTATCATTTCCCAACCTTGATAGCCCTCGATTTGACTAATTTTTTATGAATCTCGCAACCCAACTCCACCACACGACAGCCATTTTCAGCCTTTTTGGCATGTACTCGACATTGTTGGCCTTCCCCGACACCACCATCTTCCTCCCCTCAGCCCACTCACCAAAACCCCTATCATACCTTATCTGTTTGCTCTGCCAATCGCTGGCCATCGATACCTTTTGGGCCGTGACTTCTCAAGCATTTTCTTATCAATCTTGGCATTGAAAATCACCAATTACATCACCTATCACTTCTCCAACATCTACTCTCCAAAACCCCCCACCAACCTAACCTTGTTAGCCTGCCGGTTGCTGTCCACCTCTCCTAGTGATTTTTCATCTCAAAAAGCAAAAAAATAATAATAAAAAATAAAAAAATAATAATAATAATTTTTTTAATATATGCTTATATTATTAGAGGGCCCCAAAGTAACTCCTGCCTAGGGTCACAAATATTCTAGAGACGGCCCTGCACCTTATGCTTGGAGTTGTACTGGTCACCAAAGGCAAAGCCAATCTTTCAAAGCTTTTTGATCATTTGCCTCCTTAACTTGATTGTCAATGGTTTGTTGTGCGCGTGTAGAGCCCTCTTTTGCTTTTCTCGACAGCCGACAAGTCTATTCAATCTCTAGGTCTAATGATAATAATTCTACGCTTTTCCAACGTCTCATAGACAACAGAGACTTCTAAAAAATTGGAAAACTCAAGTAAATTAAAACTTAACAAAAAAGAGAATTAATTTAGAACAAAAATGCTGAAAATACAAATTCAAAAACTCAAAACAAGAATAACAGCAGCAAATAAACGTAAACAAAGATTAATTAAATAAAAATAAAATTCAAATTAATGTAGAGTAGTTTTTTTACATTTTTGTTATTCTGAATCTAATAATCCAGTCATACTATATGATAAAGCTGCCTAACTCAAAGCTCTCTTGAATTAAAATAATTTTTGTTATTTTTAATTAATTTTGATGCCTTCAAGTATATACGCAAGTTTTCTCCATATTTTTGGCAAAGGTAACCACTTAGCCAACACAGATTTTTGATGACTCAGATTTCGCATGGAGTCCCTCACATGCNAAAAACACCAGCAGCAACTGCATAAAGAATCAGCAAAGAACCCAGCAGCCAGCACCTAAAAATAACCCAGCGGCCTGCAGCTTTTAAACCCAGCAGCCTGCATCTTTTTTTTTTTTTTTTTAAACCCAGCAGCACGAAGCCAAGAGACAAGAACCGGCAGCACACCAGCAGCTTCACAAACTAGGCAGTAGAAGAAAATCCAAAAAAAAGATAAAAAATATCCCAGAAGAACATCAGCAGCAGCCCTCCAACCCAGAAAAAACCAGATCCGGTTTTTTCAGTTCAAATCGGATCGTATATCAGATAATTTTGCACACCCCTACCAGTAAGTGTTAAATCTAAGAAGAAAAAGAAGCTTTTGAATCATAGAACAAGCAATTATGTCCCACATCCAGAAAAAGAAGTTTAGTTCACACAAGGTCTCAGCTACATAAAACTATTGTGATTTGTTTCTTTTTAGCTAATATCATTTTCACCAACTTTATTATCATCACCTAATTAGATATTAGAATAACAATCAATGATCCTCATCAACAACAATCTCTCATTCATTTGCACTTGCTTCCTCAGAGGGAGCACTCCCTGCATCTGCATCTGCATAGAAGAGAGAGGAAAACAATTGGTGACTTCCTTTTTCCCTTGTTGAATGACATTTGAATGAATTGCTTGCAATTGAAAAAAGCATACGCATACCTTCACCATCAGAAGGAGCATAAGGAGACTTTCTATATCGTGTTTGCTGTTGTGTGGGCTGAAACATGACAAATATAAAGCTCCATAAGCAATTATGTACACATTAACTTGTTTCATACATAAAAAAAAGCAAGCTCATAAAAAATAAGAAAATAGTATAACAATTACCCAATGTTACAGTACACTTAAATTTAAAAACAAGAAAAAAAAAGTCACTATAGTCTAAATCCCACATATTTATTATGAGTTTTAAGTATTATCAACAAAAGCCTCAAATTCAAAGGATATGGGAAACATTTTAAACATGAAAATCGAAATATATCTATTAGAAGAATGTCGACTGATATCAGTTGAATGAGCTTTTTTTCTGACCCAAAATGATTTTAATTGTAAATGTGAAACCTATTTCTACATACATAAACACTAACTAGATAGAAAGTCAGAAACTACTCAACTTTTTGTAAAGATCTTAACTTGATTGCCCATAATATTGGTTTCCCAACAGCCTTGAGCATAAGCTCAATGTGACTTGTATACTTTAAAGAACTCAATTCCAGGTAAGCTGAGATAGCTAGTCCATATTTCTCTTTCTAAAACTGAAATGTATTCAAAAGCCAGATTATTCCTTACCATTTAAAGCATCCAGTTCACTAGAGAATGAACTTTTTATCTTTTAGATCCTTCATTAGTATAAAAAATATCAGAAAACACTAAGGCAACTCTATGAACACAATGTATACAATAGAAAGTACATCAAAAAGCAAAGAGCTCAAACTGAGCTCTTCTGGAATACCAGAAATAAACAAGACTGAGAAGAAGAGAAACAGAAGGCCAGGGACTTCTTCAAAAATTCAATTTAATCACAATTAAGGACTTTTTCTCTCCACCCTGAAAGGCCTCCACTATCACCCAACTAAAGTCAGTAGGAATCAATCTCCACAAACCCAATTGGCACTCAAGCATGTTAAAACTTTCAAAAGATGTTTCTATCACCACATCAAAATCTCAGGCAACCACCTCTATATAGCTCCTTTTGCACCTACAGTATATATCTTTCAAATTAGTACATTTTCCAAGTCACTAATTGTTTCTTCTAGCAGAGAAATTTTTAATTTTGTCTCCAAAACATTTTCCAACGGCAGTCAATTCAACACATCCAACTCTCACGCAATCACCTGTCACTGTAACCTCATTTTTGCTCCGGTAAAAATAATGTACATTTCCAATTCAACAATTATTCCTTCTAGTTGCTAATTATTTTTCAATACAAGTTTTAACAATCTTTCCATTTTGTTTGCAATGTTATGAAAATAATTGAATGCCCTTGTTTTTTTTTTTTTTTTTTTTTGGTTGTTTGATGGTGTTAAATGACATAAGGATTCTAATTCAAAATCTACACTCCATCAAACCATCAGTCTGACATTCAGCATCTCATGACATCTAAAGCTTGCAATACAATAGTTACTTTAACATTGATTTTATACTATTAAGATTAGGAGTTATTTTTTAGGAAAATGACTTCCATTTATCAGCACTGGGCTCAAAGTAGCAAGCTTTGCTACCTACTGACATAAAATTCTAGTATGGTGGGGCAGTCTACGTATTGTTTGTTAAAGTCATAAACATAACCATTGCTCATTGCCTATTCGTACCAATATACATTTAATACCTAGTTTAAGAAGGTCAAAACCCGTCCTATCAGTTCAAGAAAGTATTAACTAATACCTGCAATTTTGGCCGAAGAGCTTCAAGTGGTCCTTTTGGTTTCGAAACACCTTGCTGCTATCATTGAAAAGAATTAAAAACACCTGGAAACTAACTTAATGCATATTCTCTAGCATGGTCAAGCTAAAGAAGAACAGTGCAAGAACAAAAGTAAAGTACCTTTCCAAGAGCCCAATCAGCCGAATCAAAATAAGCACGCTCATGGTCCTAACATCAAGTTCAATCTTTATTAATAACAACACAACCCAGAATCACTTTTTTTACTATTAAAAAGCACATTCTTAATCAGAAATCACCTTAGAAATGAGTGGGGGTTTTTTGGGCACGATCCCTCCATACTTCTTTTTTACAGCTGCCTCCTACAAAATTAAGAAAAAAAAAAAATTATATCTATATATACATATATATAAATAGGGCAAATGACTTGAAATCAAGCATCCCATAATAGAAATTCTACCAGCTCACTTTCAAAGATTCAACCAAATTGAATATATAAAGTACAAGATTTCAACAAAACCTCCTCTTGAGATGATGGCATAGACTTCTGAGACTCCTCAGGGGCACTCCCATCCACCATTTCTTGATCTTTTACGTCCTCTGTGCCCGACATAATGCCACAAAAAGCAACTGAAATTGCCCAACACTTTTTTGTTACAAACACAACCCAATTATTCATCAATTAAACTCTATTGACAATAGGCATCATGAAGTCATATCATTTCAAGACAAAACCAAGTCAATTGGATTCATAATCAGAATAAGCAAATAATCTCCAAGAAATTTTAGAATATTCAACCCAACATTCAAAACCTGATTCATTTTCAATTTCTAAAGAGAGAAAGAGATCTAAGTGAAAATAAACGATTTAACATTATTTAAAAAAAAAAAAAAAAAAAAAAGTGAATCATAATTTACCGCTCAGAAGCATAATGCGAGAACAAATATTATAGCAAGTCTTTCAACAAATTAAACCACGCCAGGCTACTCCTCTTCAATTAAATTTGATTAACCAATAACATAGAAATTGAAAAATTAAAAAATTAAAAAAAAAAAAAAAAAAGAGAACCCAAAATGATGTCACCGAGGGAACTAAAATCTAATGGATCTCTAAAATAATAATCTCTAATTCTTCTTAACTTCACACCATCAGATTTGTAATTCAATATCTAAATTCCAATCCTTTCCAACAGAAAGTTAAACTACTGAACAAAACAGAAACAGCTGAAACAAACCCACAAAAAAAGAATTCAAATTCAATGATACCCAGTTTCTAAACTGCTCCCACGAATGAAAAACAAAAAACTATTTTTAATCAAAATTCAACAACAGGTACAAATATGTAAGAAAGTTGAGACATACCCAGAAGGAAACAAATGATTATAAATCAATAACTGTCAAAAGCCAAGAAATAAAAGAGGAGCCAAAAGGGTACCCGATTTGATATTCTAAGAGGCATATTTAGGGATGGCAAATCCAGGGTGGGGCCCCGGTTTGGTACAAAATCTGGATTTTGAAGAATCCATTCAGGATGCGCGTATCCCAGCCCAGGTGATACTTGGACCCGGCCTTGCAAAATATTGGATCGGGTCTGGAAAGGGTTTTTTTTTTTTTAATTATTTATCCCTTATGGGCATTTGGATCATATAATATTTTATCATAGGAGATGTTATATTAATAAAAATATATATCACCTTGAAGATTACTAAGAATGTTGAGAAAATGTATCGGAAAATGTGTTTGGTTGATTCGAACAAATTGGTGAGTAATATGTTTGGTTGGGAGGATAAATAGGTGGATATGTTAATAGATTATTAAATTGTTCTCCTTTTTAAATATTAATATAATATTATTTTTTGAATTATTTTTTTAACCCCCTACATTTGAAATTTTGCTAAAACATCTCAGCCGTATAAAACTTTAATTTATAGCAAAATACCCCTACCCATCCTAAGCCACTGCAACCAGCTAGCCACTACCGCCGCCCACCATGGGCAGTCAATAGAATGGAGCACGACTAGTAGTATATGGTCAATTGTGTGCTGGAAAAGCCATTTTCGGTCATGGATCCATAGCTGTTTCACGGCCAGATCTATGGTCGTTTCACAACCAAAGATGTGGCCATGAAACAGCCACAAATCTGGCCGTGAAACGGACATAGAAATTGCCTTGTTAGCTCATGGTCGACCAGATCCCGTCAGTCTTGTGCCATTATGGCGATTTCCGCCGGTGGTCGATTGTAGTCTTAGGTGGCTGAGAGTATATTGTTAACTTTTAAACTTTTTTTGTGGCTAGGGTGCTTTAGCTAATTTCTTAAATGTAGGGGGACAGTGGTAATTGTTATTTAGTAGACTTTTGAGGGCAATTGTATCCGAAATGGTATTTAATAAAGAGCAAAATAGGTATAAAAATCAGATTATCCGGTAATCTTTTAATAACAACCCCTAGGGAGAGTATCTAATTACCCTCTACATTACCAACAACAAACACTATGAAGGTGTTTAGATCATATAATGTTTTATTATAGGGGGATATTATATTAACGGAATAAAAGATCACCTTAAAGATTACTAGGAATGTTTAGAAAATGTGTTTGGTTGGTTCGAATATATTAGTGAATAATATGTTTGGTTGGAAGGATGAATGGGTGGGTATGTTATGTAGATTACTAAATTGCCCTCCTTTTTAAATATTAATATAACAGTATTTTTTATTATTATTTTTTGAACAATTTCTTTTAACCCCCTACTTTTCAGATTTGGCAAAAATACCATAGCAACCAAAAACGTTTTAAACTTAACAAAAACACCCCTACTCACCCCAAGCCACTGCCGGTAGCCAGCCACCACTGCTGGCGGCCGCTGGCAGTGCCACAAATTTGGCCGTGATCCACAGATCTGGTAGTGAAATGGCCAGGTCTTTGGCCGTGAAATGTCGGCCGTTTCACGACCAAAGACCTGGCTGTTTCATGACTAGATTAGTCGCCGTTTCACGGCCATAGATCTGGCTATGAAATAGCTAGATCTGGCTTTTTCCGACTCAAAAAAAGCCTCATTGACGCATGACCGACCATATACGACCGGTCGTACGCCAGTATGGCGACTTTTGGCAACCTCCGGTGGTGGTCGACGGTGGCTGCCGGTGGTGGCTAGTTCTGAGTATAAAGACATTTCTGTAAATAATGATAATAACAAGGGCAATGTCGTTCGAAAAATTTTAAAAGTGAAGACAAAAGAGCCTACATAAGTGATTGGGTGTTTTATAAATATTAGCAAATATAAGGTTAATTTGGACCAAATGCTCAACTGTTTAAGGGTAATATGGGAAAAAAATTGTAATACTAAGGTAAGTTTTAATAACAACAACCACAACCAAGCGCCCCTCCCCCCCTTCCCCCTAGAAATTTACCCCCCAAATGCTACTGTTTGTCATAAAATATTTTGGGAATAATTTTTTACAAACCAACCAAACATCGTCATCTGCATAATTTAAAAAATATTACCCTAGTTATCTAATATTAACCTGATTCAAACGGCCCCTATTTGCAATAAAAGATATCCGTAAAATTTTATTACTTGCAAACCAAACACCAGAATCTAGCAAAATAAACGAAAATTACCCCTGTTATCTTATATACCCCTGATCCAAACGCACCCTTTAAGGATAGCTAAGTATTAAAAACCCTCTTCCCATTAGTGATTGATTAGAATTTCATCGATTTAATTTATTTAATATTGAATTTAAGAATATGAAAGTCCGTTTCATCCTAAATTCAAAAGATATATTAGTTAATATTAGCATTTATCTCTTCTCTACTCCTATCAAATGTATCCTTCTCTACCAACAAAAACAGTGAAACAAGCATCCATATGTTAACACACAAGAGGAAACCACAGAAGCATGTCCTTTCAAAGATAGCATAATCAGGGTGAACCCATCAAGTAAATATATCTAAACAGAATAAAAATTTAAAGGTGACATCTGAACATATTGATAAGGCTTCCAACTGATGGTATTCAGTTTCAATCAAAAAAATGTAAATGAGAAGATTAAAAGCATATTTTACATGTTTTGATATGTACGGACAAATTGTTCACAAGATTTTTTCCTTGACCGGGGCTCCAAAATGCTATCTTCCAACTTATTCAATTTACTAATTGCATACTGTTAACGGAAAAAAAAATAATAATAATAATAACTTGCATCACCTAATTATTTTTTGTATAACTATGTTTATCAAATAAGTATAGTGATGTACTGATGTGTGTGATTCCATATATATATTAGCAACCGTACTAGTCGCATTAAGTAATAAAATGATCATGAGAGTATCATTTCCACGAACACTACAAGAAAAATGGCTTACAATAATATCAAAAAGTGTTACCGTAGGTAATTGGTAGCATTTATAAGGATGTTGTGATAACCAATGTTACTAAAAGTAGACATTGATAACACATTTTGCATGTGACTAATTATTTCAGTAACTGCCATAAAATGTTGTTGTTAAGTATATTGTAACACCTATTCGTAGTTACGAATGATTTTAGTAACACTGCATAAATGCTATAAATAAGTTTTCTGTAACCTTCTTAACCTATTACAGTTTAGTTTTTTGTAACATTCTCAAAATGTTATAAATAAGTTTTCTGTAACTTTCTTAACCTGTTACAGTTTAGTTTTTTTTGTAACATTCTCAAAATGTTATAGATAACAAATCTATAACATTTTTACAATGTTGTTGATTGGTTTTTCTTAACATTGTTAAAATGCTACAGAATAACATGTTAAAAGTGCTACCAAAGTATTATTCATTGCATTTTGTAAATGTTACAAAATTATTTTCCATAACATTTTGAAAGTGCTATCAATGTATCTGTTATAGTATATATTAAAACTGTTACAATTGTTATTTTAATAATACAAATTATAAACAATGATACACTAATTTTTCAAAGAACATTGATGGTGAACCTTCATATACAAAAACTTTGCATAAATGCCTAATAAATAGGCACCCAACATCCTTTACATCCATAAAATCTAATACAAAAAGCTTCATATATCATATCATATTTTGTAACATATAAACCTTCATATACAAAAAGTTTCATATATACCTAGCAAATATACACCAATCATTCTTTACATTATAATACCTAGATGATTGGAAAAGTAACTATGAACAATAGTTAATAGTTTCCAATCATTCAAAAAATTATAACAACAAAAACCATCATGCATACTATCTTCCATTCCCAATTGTGCTTTAAAAAAAAAATACTCTTACATTTTCACAACCTACAAAACCATTAATACAAAAAATATCTTCAATTCCCATACATATTCTCAAAGATGACAATACATATATATTGTAAATTCAAGAAAAGATTAAAACAAAAGCACCCTAAATATTTAATGCAAAACAAAAAGGAAAAGAACATGTTTAAATCTTCAACTTCATAATTACTAGTTCTAAAAAATAGCACCATGCAAGTTTAAAAGATATACCAAAATTACATATTTTCAATTCTTATCTCCAAATTATATCATTATAATATATGTTACAATAGATGAAACCTAAAAGAGATGATATAATGGAAAAGAAGTTAGCTAAAATTGTTTTTGAAAAGGTAAGACAACTTTGTCAGCAGCCAAGCAACTATACTTCCCACAACATCTTTTTTCCGAATCAATTCTTATCTCCAAATCAACGGATGTTTATATCTTTTTTCCTGCCTGTTCGAATTTAGGCAAATAATTAACAATATCTTTTTTCCTTTACATTTTCAGTAATAGTACATGTTCTATAATTAGGTAAAAACTCAATATAAGCTCAACTGAGAATATGAGTTGATTCTATATCCTATAATGTTTGCTGCATTTTCTGGTTCTCATACGACATACAATTTTGTGTGCAATAAAATTACATAAAACAATATTTCAAAGGTCATAAATATCATATAAAGTGTGTAATAACATTTATGATTCGAATCTAGACTCCAACACATGAATCTAGTGAAGGGCATAAAACTGTGTAATTAAAGTTGTTTAAGTGTTGGTTTACGTAATTTCACTTGTCAAATCTCCATCTCTTTTTAGCCTTATTGTAAAAATAGGTAAACATTAATTAACTACCAATAAAACTTTATACATGCTTTTCAGACGGTAACTTAAAATTGTAAAACCATTTAGGTGATTCACATGTTATGCCTTTTATACTCCTCTATATTAAAATAATATAAGTAAGTTTTTAACTCTTTAATCTTTATACTAAACTTTTTTGGGACTTAAAAATAAATAACCCAATAACCTTACAAAATATGCAATAAAATTAAATTCTCTAAATTAAAAAAGAATCGATATTAGAGTATCTAAAAAAAAAAAAAAAATTGCAGGCTGCAGTTTGCAAATAATATAAAGTTACGAATTACCTCTCTTTGACGTAAAGCTACTTCTTCCTGCAGATGAAAA